GGGGCCCCTGCGGGCTGTCGGGAAACCCGCCGCCGCTCCTCCGCCGGAAACAAAGCTGAGAGCCCGGCCACCTTCCCAGAATGCACTGCAGGACCCTCTCCGCTGCGAGTCTCGGGGGAACGAAATTGACGAGGCAAGGGCTCCAGGGGCTTCCGGGTAAGAACTTCCGGTAGATTCCCGCGCGGCGGCGGGAAGGTTTGACTGCTGGGGGCGTGGAGCGCAGCGGGAGCTGGAGACTCCCAGTGCAGAGAGCGTAGAGAGGCTGGGGCCTGGTGTTCGTCTGCGTGTTGTTACTTGTTTGGAAGTCGTGGAGGAAGGAGAGCTGGAGAAGGCCGGAAAGAGGTAGGGAAGAAAATGAATGGCCCCCCGGGGCTTCCCATGAGAATTCCCCTGGGGATGCTGAGAGTTGACGATTTACACCTGGAGTAGAAACGTGTCTGGAGAGTTACAAAATAGGGCGCAGTTTGAGGGGGGGAAATAATTGTGCTTATTACTAGTTAAAATTATCCTTCATAAGTTATTCGCTGCTTTCCCCTTAGCTGTAGATTTCATGAGGGCGACTGTCTTCCACAAGCCTGATAGACACAGGCATGTATGCGCTTAATAAATATTTATTTTATGCCGAGTGACTGGGGATAAGTAATGTTTATAAGATTAAGAAGTAGTGCCCTGACCGTTTTGGCTCAGTGGATAGAGCGTCGGCCTGCGGACTCAAGGGTCCCGGGTTCGATTCCAGTCAAGGGCATGTACCTTGGATGCGGGCACATCCCCAGTTGGGGGTGTGCAGGAGGAGCTGATCGGTGTTTCTAACTCTCTCTCCCTCTCCCTTCCTCTCTGTAAAAAATCAATAAAATATATTTAAAAAAAAAGTAGTGGTAGCCCGGCCGGTGTGGCTCAGTGGTTGAGCATCAACCTATGAACCAGGAGGTCACGGATTCCGGTCAGGGCGCATGCCCGGGTTGTGGGCTTGATCCCCAGTAAGGGGCGTGCAGGAGGCAGCCAAGCCTTGGTTTTTTCGCGACATTGATGTTCCTATCTCCCCCTCTCCCTTCCTCTCTGAAATTATATATATATATTTAAAAATGTATAAATAAAATAGAAGCAAGGTTACCAGTCATTAAATGGGGTGGAATTTCACACCATTTCAGACAGCGTTTCCTGGCGGTTAGCCGAGGGAGAAGGACGTAAGTGTCTCCTGGCAGAGGCCCAGGGCGTGGAGACAACCCACGTACCCCCCCCCCAAAAATATTGCATTAGTAATAATCCCACCGGGAAAAGATGGATTATTTCCTATTGCAAAACTTTACTTAATTTAAGGAATTATATATACAACTTAGGAATCTTTCCCAGTTTTATTCTGACCAAATATCCAAGTTTTTTTTAACAACTGTATAAAGTTATTCAGGAAAAATAAGGATACCTAGTGTTAATCTCTACCAG